TGGACAACAAGTTAACATTTGCCCTGGGTCGGCAAAACCCCCAAGCTAAATATTTGAAAGGTGCTTTTCTTTTACAGTCAAATAACATCATTGATTGCACATCCAATTAATTTTCATTGTGATTTTAATTGCTGTTAGAAGAAGACAGCTCACTATTAAGAGCACTTTGAGACAGAATAAAAAAAATCTCATCCCTCTCACTTCCTTTCCTACATATCAGTACAGTTTCCCATTACTGAGTTGAACATTTTGGTATGTGTAGTGCCTACCACCTTTCTTTTCTTAAAGGGGTCATATGATGCGATTTCAAGTTTTACTGGGTCAGCTGGCCAATCAGAGCAGACTGCGCTTGTCGGAAGGAGGGTCTTTGTAGAAAACGAAGCGTTTGAGAGAGGCGGGGCATAGAGGACCTACAATAATGTACAGTATTTGAAAAATAATGTGTTTTTTGAACATGAAAGCATGTTAACATATTCTGTTACACCAAATACACAAAATAATGATCTTTAAAAAAGCATCATATGACCCCTTTAATATTATAGAGTATGTCTCCCTCCTTTATTGATTTCATCCTTTAGATTAAATGTGCGGTTGCTGATTGCACATAATTTATATACAGTCTCTGAACTCGTAAAACTCCAGATGACTCTAAAATAATAAGCTGATTCGCAATATGTGTAGCTTTTTGTACAGATGGTGAGACTCATAAATTCCTGAAGGAGAGATTTTGATTTATATATATATATATATATACACATATGTTACACTCATCTTTCTTTGTTCGGATTTATACTTATTCTTACTTCAGAAGCCAACCTAAGAGCTGTGGATTACGTAGTATAAATTCAACATAACAGCTTGCTTCTTTCTTTCATACGGCAAAAATTTACATAAGTTCCTTCATACCTGTAATGGGATTTCAAATTGAAGTGCCCACCTGGACGAACCTTGGTAATGAAGACATTTTTATAGTATGTAGCCTAAAGTGACAGACCTGAGAAAAATTGCAATGTGTTCACCTCTGCAAAGTAAATAGATGGGGGTTTTGGCTTAAAGCTGAGGTAATTTGTTTACCACTAGAGAATGGAATTGTAGTGATTGTTTTCAAAAGTTTCCCAAACATTTCCTGTCAGATCCGGTAAAACATGCACCTTTTTTTTGCGCAGTGTGTGGAATGCAAATGCAAACCTCCTTGTAAATGCGGTCCTGTGTATTACATGAAGTGCTTTGCGTCAACCTTCATTAAAATGGACTCTTTGTGACTCATTTGTCATTTAGACATTCAACAAGCGAGATTCTCAGTGAATTGATTACAAAACATATTTAACCTCTCACCCTATTTAGCAAGCTAAAATCTCTGAATGCCTGTTCCTGTCATCACTTTTAGACACATCATGGTAAAAAAAGCCTTCCGTTTTGTAATATCTCCATTTAATATCCACAAAGTCATTTGTACTGCGTCAGCAAGTGGTGTGAAAACGGGCCATTAATATGTCCTGTGACCATAAATAGCAATTTCTGTTTATTCTAATAGACCAAGCTCTTAAAAGAAAAAGAAACTGGAATTAAAGTTGTTTATGCTTACATTCAGCTATGTTTTATTATCACGATTAATGCTTTGATTTAGCTTCCCCCCTTTTTGTGGGCAGAAAATATGAGAATGCCATTATGACGAAGAACGTAATTGATCTTATTTCAGGAGAACCACAAGCCTTTGAACTCTAATAGTCGATGATGCTGGTGTCTCTTAGTAAGACACATTCTCCATCTTTTTGAAGTCTCTCTCTCAGACACGAGCACACACGCAAATGTGCATACTACATTTAAGATGACATCTCCATATAGCTTCATAATGTTGCAGTTTCTGTGTAAGGGAAGGGAGCCTCGGAAAATGAAGGAAGCCATCTGCTTCTCTCAGCTCCAGAGGAAAGAGATGCTGAAGCAACCGTGCAGGGAGCGGCATAACTAAACAAATGAAGTGATTAGGACACGAGCAGAGGACAGAGGACACAAAGCCTATAGCTTCTATTCAGAGAAACACGCCAAAATAAACAGAGAGTATTCCTAGAAAAACACTAACACACTTTGTTACACTACTGGTGACTGACAAGGAGTGAGGGGTGAAAAAAGCGACAAGCCAATAGTAAATGAAGGGCAAAGGTAGAGTCTGCCGTATGATGAGATGAACCCAACAGAACTGAAGCTCCATTTCCTCACAGGCTGCATTCTCTAAAGGTTAACACAGTCTGGGACTTGTGGTAGATACAAGGACGGAAACCATCACTCTTCCATCCGACCCTCAGCTCCACTATGCCTCTTTGCCACACCGATAAAGAACTCCACATAATTGGGAAGTATTGAAGAAAACATAAAACATGCCGAACATGTCTATGACTAGAAAACATAATCATTATTGAATCTTTAGGGTGTAAATGGTAACCACACTGGTCTATCTATGCATCTACAGCATATATTCGAATAGGAAAATAATATAATCAATACAAATATTTGTCAAGACAATATTCCAGTAACATATTTCACAGGTTTTTGAGTCAGTAAGATATTTAGTTTTAGAAAGCAGTAAAACAGTAAAAATAGTAATAACTGTGAAATTAAAATGTCCATGTGTATTTAAAATTGCTCTTTTATGATTGATTGGTGCTCAATAAACATTTCTTATTATCAATGTTATTGATACAAATATTTTTGTGGAAACCACAATATTTTTTTAGGGTTTTTATTTAAATAATAGAATAGTCACTCTCATGTTTATATCAAATTAATGCGTCCTTGCTGAACAAAAGTATAAATTTTCTTCCAAAAAAAAAAAAGTACTCACCCAAAACTTTTGAACTCCAGTGTATATATGTATAGCTACATATTGTACACACACAAACACATTGACACAAGTCCTGTCTTATCAGCGTATAATGTGTCTAGCTAGATTTGGAGGTCATGAGTCTGAAAAAGTCCATTCTTATATAAAAGTCGTTGAATCCTTAAATGTCAGAAGTGGAAAAGAAAGCGGCAACAAACTTCGCCAACAGTAACTGGACGCAGGCTGTCTACGATGCTAGAATAAAATCGGCAGTCTGGGTAATTGGCAGCGCGCAGCAATGCGCATCGTATTAGGATTATTCTCCATGGAAATTTTTTTTCCCCCAAGTTCGCTGCCTCCTGACCATTTACAACTTTATTTCTTTGCTTTTTTATTTCACTGCATTCATTTCTGCTTCACTTTATCAGCAGTGCAACACCTAGTGCAGAGTACGTGAGGAAGAGAAGTGCCTAAGAAAAAAAAAAAAAAGATAAAGAAATCGCAGAGAGAGGATGCAAACTGCCAGAAGCAACCATCAAGAGACTCTGAACCATAGGCCTCCCAGCAGAATACTCTGGAAGACAGCAGGGATGTCATTTCTCTGCCATTCCCCCACCTTTCCTCCATCATTAGTTTAATAACCATCCGATAAGCAGCACAGACTCAAGCCGGCCTCTTTACTTCCCTGATGGTCATAGACCTCAGAAACTGGCTGTGCTATGCCACTCTTCAGCCACTACTGAAACAATGGGGCTTGATGAGTCTGCCTCCATCATTGAGGGTTTCACATTGATCTTGTCCCATTAATATAAGCCGCTTAGGCTGCCCCACAGAGACATTGTGTAAGAGTTCCATGTTTCTCAACTGTTTTAGCATTGCACACACGGACACAATAAGCCCTACACACTCACTGTCCCGCTGGTTATCAAAAAGCTTGTGAATATTAGAAGCACTTTGAAATGAAAGCTTATTCCCACTGACGGTAGATGAGAGCTGTTTGCATGACAAGACGTGTATACTTCCGTGCACATATATTCATGTGTAAAATCTGAGCTATTTACATTTGATCATTTTGCAGATGCTTTTATCCAAAGCGACTAACAAATGAGGAAAAAGCACAAGCAACTGTTCATAAAGGAGTGCAGAACCATTTTAAGAGTGAACCAAAGGAGTATAAAAGCACAGGAACTTAGAGAGGAAAAGGAATAGTTGAAGGAATAGTTTAAAAAGACGTTATTTACTCATCCTCATGACATTAAAAACCTTTATGTTTTTCTTTCTTCAATAGATAACAAAAGAAGACATTTTTGATGCAATTTTGATGCAATTACAAAGGAATTTGGATCGTTGGATTGATCCTTTCAAAGGATCGATTCGCTCTCAAAACATGCAAAGGAGAGGTAGGCTGAAAAGCAACAAAAAATAAAACGAAAGCAAGAGAAAAGAAAGAATAGTTGAACAAACGGTAAAAAAAAAAACTAAGGGTGCTATTTACTCACCCTTGTATCATTGCAAAAATAAAAAAAAATAAAAATAAAAATCTTCAATGGATTGCAAAATAAAATTTTGAATAGTTTATTGGTTTTTGTCCCCATGCAAAAACAAGCAAACAAACAAACAAACAAAAAAAAAAACAAAACAAACATTTAATTTTTTGTTCCTCAAACAAATCTATGTACTTACAGAAGTAAGTCTTGCATATTTGGAATGTTATGATTTTAAGTAAATGATGACAGAATTTTCATTTTTGGTTGAACCATTGCTTTATTCAACACATGGCTGTACTGTAGGTTAGATAGTAAGTGCTTGTGGAGTTGCGTCTTTAGCCTGAAGTTTGTGATGTTTTCAATAGAAAAAAAAATAAAAATAAAAATCTTCAATGGATTGCAAAATAAAATTTTGAATAGTTTATTGGTTTTTGTCCCCATGCAAAAACAAACAAACAAACAAAAAAAATAACAAAACAAACATTTAATTTTTTGTTCCTCAAACAAATCTATGTACTTACAGAAGTAAGTCTTGCATATTTGGAATGTTATGATTTTAAGTAAATGATGACAGAATTTTCATTTTTGGTTGAACCATTGCTTTATTCAACACATGGCTGTACTGTAGGTTAGATAGTAAGTGCTTGTGGAGTTGCGTCTTTAGCCTGACGTTTGTGATGTTTTCAATAGATCACGTGGAGGTTGAAATGTCATTCCACAACAGCGGAACAGAGAGAGTGAAGGTTGCTGTAAGCAAGCTGAAATGAGCTGTAGCCTATTAGCAGCAGGCTGCTCCTCACACACTCATCATGTGAATTGTGATTATAAAAATGTCAATTTCCTATCGGTTGTTCCAATGGGTTACTGAGGCCACACGTACGTTATCTACATGCTCTGCTCTTGAGACACTCTTTAGGATGTATGGGCTAGTCTGGCTCCAAAAGGCCAGTGGCTGGTTACGTAAACAACACTTATCAAAAGGGCATCCAGGTTAAACGTCACCCTGCTGCTGTCTGCCATGATCAGTTTTGAAGGCGAGAAATGCCAAGTCTAACTGTAATGTTGCCTTATTCCCATAGTCTCCCGCTAACAGGCAACAGAGTGACATATTCACGCATGATCGGCCATGCTCGAAACCTTTTGCTTAACATTTTGACATGTGTGTCAACCTGACACTGTCTATCTGAGGCATTGATTGCGGCTGTGAATATATGAATGCTCGGGACGGAGTGTGCGTGGCTGTGAGTGAGTGTATGTGTGCGATATAGACAAAGGTGTCCTTGAGGGCTGATACTCAAGGATGAAACCAAAACAAACCCTGTAATTGATGTAGTTTGGAGAGCAGAGGGTCTTAACGTATGATCTTTCCTTCAAAGTCAAACAATAAGGAGCGCGACAATGCTACCTAGCAACAGACAGAAGAGTGAATTCTCATCTGAAAAGGGAAAACTAGTGTGTGTAGAGTGTGTGCGAATGTGAAAGACAAGCAACAGAAAGAAAATGTAGCGGTCTGACACCTAGCCAGCAATAGAGGTTTTCAATTTTCAACACCTCACCGTGGACAAAACCCTAAATCCAAAATGCTTAGTTTCTTTAACCTCTCTGCCATGCAGAACTGCGACTATCTATTTGCTGAAATGCCCATGGCATTTTTTCTATTTAGCGTTTTTTTCCCCTGAATGCAAGTGGGTGTCACAAGTGTCCTCGACAGGAGAATAATGCTAGCGCAACAGCATTGCCTTTTAGGAGAACAGGAAGTAAGCGATCAGCACTCACTCTGTGATTTTGGAACAACAAAGCTCTTTTGTCCGAACACACATTTTCACTCCGAGGTTGAGGGACGGGGTTAGGGCTATATCTCCATGCCGGCATGGGATGCAGTAACTATATCTAGACATGGAGTTGGTTAAAGTACAGAAGATGGAGAAATGGAAGTGACTGAAAGAGGAGGCAAGAGAAGAGAATGTGGAAAATTAAAACCAAGGTAGTTTTCTCCCTGATTCGTAAGATAAAACAGGCTACAAACATAAAAGTTTATGTACAACTAATGATTAAAAATCAGACAATAAATGCATATTTTTTCTGCTCCTATTAACACACACACGAGTTGGTAATGTAGAGGTTAAAATGCATTTTCTGCACTGCCAAGCACAACACAAGCACATGGCCCAACCAAACTCTGATTGTCTAAGTGCATGGTCTCAACCCTTAGAGCAACAGGGAGCTTTATCACAGTATGCATCTTCTCATCCCTCTGTGTGAGATTGGTCTGCGCTGCAGCTCCTTCACAATTAAATAAACCGGTATATGTGGGTGCACATGTGTAAACTCACACTGACTGCAGTCTGCTATGAAAACCTGGGACGCTGCCTGAAGATTTATATGAAAAGAAAATGGCCTAAATAGACCAATACAGCACCAGACAGACACTCTATAAGGTGATGTAAAAGAGAGGTAATAACAGCCCAAACAGGAGAGGGTCTAAATTTAGTATGTTCGGTGAGATTAACTGCTGCAATCATCCTTCTAGTACTGCTAGACTCTCCGTTTCAACAGACCCAAGACTCAATGTGTGTGTGTGTGTGTGTGTGTGTGTGTGTGTGTGTGTACGTGAGAAGCAGAGAAAAGTGCATTTCTAGAGGCACAAAATGAGGTCCTCCATCACCTTTTCCCAATGACAGTCGGCCCACATACAATACACAGCAGACACAGACATAGTCCATATCTCCTCTCTATACATTTAATATCACTGCAGGATTTATCCTTAAGGCATCATCTCCCAAAAGAGCATTGATTGTAACTAAACTCCTAAAACATCTCGGCCTGATATCAGCAAACCAAAAATATTTACGTCAATGATGAGTATTCTGATGTTAGCCTTGGCCTCTTCACCCATTATTCCTGTTATTATACTATTATAACTGTATAATAATAATAATAATAATAATAATAATTATTATTATTATTATTATTATTATTATTATTATAATAATAATAATAATAATTATTATTATTATTATTATTATTATTATTATTATTATTATAATACTAAATAAAAAATGTGGACAAACATATATTTGTCTAAAATAAATAAATATAAATAATAATATTGACTATTATAGTAGTAGTAGTAGTAGTAGTAGTAGTAATTAAGAAATATTACAATACAATACAATAATTATTACAATTACAATAATTATTATGATGTTGTTAATAAGCAAACAAACAAACAAATAAATATATATATAAAACTTTCAAATAACAATAAATATTAATATTAGTTTCATCATCATTTACTTAATACTTTTCACTGTTGTTGTTATTGTTGTTGTGTTATTAAATAAATAATTAAATACAACAACAACATAATATAAACAAACAAACACAATAAATCAAAAACCTTTCAACAAGTTTGCAAAACTGCTAGACCTCAATTACCAATAGTGCTTCTTTGTATGGTTGAAAATAGAAGCTCTCTTCTGTTCTTCAAGTCTTGTGCCAGTGCTCTCTGACACCTCTCATGCAGAGATCAGCCCATCATATAGCATAGAACAGGATTTTTGTCACTGTTACACATCAAAGCTGAATCTCTACTTTTGTCAAAAGAAAAACAATTTGAGCCAAACTTTTATTTCCAACCCATATCTCATCTGTGGTACAAGTGTCAGGAACCTGCTCCTCTCTCACGCTGACATTGTCAGTCAGCTGAATGAGTTAGATATGCCCAGCACACCAGCCAGTGTTAATATGTGGCTGTATTGAACAGGCCTTGTTTGAGAGGCGGCTGGAGATGAGCTTCGGCCCCTGTGTGGCTCATGTAAAATGGTAGATTCGTCACGGCGGGACAAAGCGGGCTAGTCGAATAGGGATGGCACGACGTGACATGAAAGCACCAAGGGAAGACTGTGTGACAAAGGCTGCTGTTTTTGATGAAGTAGGCTGAAAAATATAATTGTCAATCACTCCGACTGACAGTTGAGGAGCTCTACTAAAGCAATATAACCAGAGCAACATTTCGTCCCTCAGATCTTCCAGGTGTAAGCAATCGTGTGAATATTTGCTGTCTCACTTTACCTTACAGTGTTCACTGTATTCTGTATTTATTTACATAAATAAATACAGAGTAACACTCAAAACTGTGTGCATTCACTGTATAAATATTCACAATGCCCTGGGGCAAATCCTTTTTGCATTTTATCATACAACTCACTGGAATCCTTGATTCTGATTGGCCAATCACATCATTCAGTGTTCCAAATTGTTGTATAATAACCACTAAACTGTCTGTTTATGTATATTCATGTACCTGTTGTCACTGCCAACCAATCTCTTTCAGTGTGCTGGTTTCATGTCTCTCATAACACTCTCTGCTTCCATAATAAAATAATTTCAACTTGAATAAGTATTTCCATCACCTTCCATAATCACAAAATAAACCTCTTCAGTGTGATATAAGACTCATCCACTTCCTGCCCAGTTCTTTATTACCCTGTCAGGGTTTATTCTGACTGTGCATTATGACATATTTAGCCACAAATAAATAGTTATTGCAGGAAAGTTGCTTATAAGTACACATTGCTGTTATTTCTACAGTAAATGGCAAGTTTTTAAAAGGACATTTATGCATCATCTTTTGTATTTGTTGCATCTGCACAAAATCATCGCTAGCAGATTTTCCAGTAAAGATGTGCTCGGCGATATGATACGATGAAAGATTTAAAAGACCAGGTCACATTGAAGAAACTATCAGATTTATTATAGCAATTTTCTGTATTGTTGTTTAAATGAAGGTGCACAGGGTCCTACATTTGCTGATGTCTGCATTAAGTAAGAGTGAGTCAGTGAGTCTGAGAAAGAGAGAGAAGCAAAGCAAAGAATGGAGTACAATGAGAATGGAAGAGCAAAGTGGGACGGGATCAGTAAATTACCTCAAGGGAAATGGTGATAATATTTTCTCTGTGGACTCGACCTCCTATAAATTACACTTTGCATTTAATAAGCCTTTACCACGAACTTGCTACCTTATATGCATTTACCTAATTAATCAGAGATGGCAGTGCGGCGACTAACTTGCTTTACTCTGTATTTTACCGTGGTAAAAAAAAAAACATTCTAATTAGGAGAGATGATCTAGTTTTCTTTAATGAGAATTGATGGATATTCTCCTGCTTCGTGAAACCCTTTCTCTTTTGTTCTACCCTCCTCCTCCACCGTCCCTACGAACCCAACTGCAAATCAGCCACTTCTATAAAAACGGCAAATGAGCCTGTGTGTTTGATTAATGGGCTTAATTTTCATTGGATTTGACTCTGCTACGATAGTCCACTGCACCTCTAAAGCTTTCTGATGATTAGATTTAGACTGTGTCAAAAAGTCAAACAGCTTAGAAACAAGTGTCCCTGAACCCCTCCCTCTACTGCCGTCACCTCCCTGATGCACTCACTAACCATTAACACCAACTTTATTCCCATATTGTACATTCGTGTTAAAAACTTTTGCCTTGGAAGATAAATGTAAAAAAAAATAAAATTATATTTTGCTAACTTCTCACCGATTACACACGTATATTTTGGATTGTGTGACTTTATATGCATATCTACTGGCATTGATGCAGTCTGTACCGTATTGACAGGAAGTGAGCGAGGGAGAAGAGGATGGGATTGGGAAAGGTTCGCGAGCCGGGACTTGAACTTGGGACGCCCGAAGTGCAGTTACGCTATATGTCAGTGTGCTGCCCACGAGGATATTGGCACCGACAAATGTCTCTT